GTGGAAGAGGGGCTGAGAGTCGGGGGTTTTAGCTGACAGTTCAGCCCCCCCCCCCCCCCCCCAGGGCTGTGTCCTGGGAGGGCCTTCTTAAAGGAACACCCTACCTTCAACCCCAAAGACCACGCTTTGCAGGGCAAGTTTCAGTGGTTCTGGACCGCACATGCTTGGAGATAAACCAGAACCTGTGCTTTGGAAATATTTTTTTAAGTTTTTAAATGAAAAATAAGTGCTATGTTTCCAAACTGCAAAGTTAGACTTTTGCTAACGGTTTTATTTTGGCTGAAAAAGCACTCTGGTGTGTAAATCTTTGTCTGCATCTTTGATTGGTTTTTTCATCGGATTAGGTTTTTGGAAGTGGAATTCCTAGGTCGTTATAAACACACCGAGTGGGTAGGCAGCTCTTCAAATAGTTTTCCAATGTTTTGGGAGTTTAAACTTCTATCAGAGGCATTTGAGGGGACTGTTTCAGAGCAGCTGCCCCCAACCCTAGGGATTAGGATAACATTTTTTTTTTTTTTTTCGCGGTACGCGGGCCTCTCACTGTTGGGGCCTCTCCCATTGCGGAGCACAGGCTCTGGACGCGCAGGCTCAGCGGCCATGGCTCACGGGCCCAGCCGCTCCGCGGCACGTGGGATCTTCCCGGACCGGGGCACGAACCTGTGTCCCCTGCATCGGCAGGCGGACTCTCAACCACTGCGCCACCAGGGAAGCCCTAGGATAACAATTTTTTTTCCTAATTCAAAAGATGGAAAATGATATCTTCTTATTTTAAGTGCTAGTGAGGTTCAGTAAGTTCTCAAGTGTTTACTAGATGTTTCTGTGTGTGAATTTCTTCTTTCGTAAATTGTCAGTTCCTTTACTCATTTTTCCATTCGGGGTTTTCTGTGGTTTTCTTATCAGTCAGGATGGGGACTTTATATTAATGATATTAGTTGTTTTTTGTTATGTGGTTAGCATTTCCTAGTCGTTTGTCTTTTAATATTTGTGATTTGTGATGTTCTGAAGTTTCAAACGTTTATGTAGCAAAATCTATTGCCTTTTTCCCTTTGTAATTTCTTCACTTTCATGCTCAGATTTTTTTCTATCACAAAATCAGTTAGGTACATGTTCTAGGTTTTTTCATTCGTTTTCTTTTTTTTCTCTTCTTATTTAATTTTTTAACCTGGAATTTAAAAAAAAAATTGGCACTGGTATTAAAAATAATTGGATGTAATTCTTCCAGAACAGGATAATTGATGGTACAGTTACATTTTATCAAATAACCCTTTCTTTTTCATTCATTCAGATCCTGCCTTTATCCAGAATTACTTTATATCTATTAATTTACCTGGGCTTTTCCATTCTGTCCCATATTGTATGACAGTTCTTGTTCTAGCAGCACATTGCATTCATTATTGGGCTTTATAACAGGGTAAATTCTTCCTCCTATTCTTAAAAAAATAATTTACCCCCAGCCTTATTGAAATATAATTGATACATAATATTGGGTTAGTTTAAGATGGCCAATGTATTGATTTGATACATTTATATATTGCAAAATGATTACCACCATAGCAGTTAGCTAATGCCTCCATCATGTCACATAATTACCATTTCTTTTTTTGTGGTGAGAACATTTAGGATCTACTTTCTTGGCAATATTCAGGTACATAATACAGTATTATTAGATAATTACTGTGCTGTACATTCGATTCCCAGAACTTAGTCATCTGATAACTGTAAGTTTGTACCCTATGACTAACATCTCCCCATGTCTCCCACTCCCTTATTCCTGGAAACCACCACTCTACTCTCTGTTTCTCTGAGTTTCTCTTTTTTTTTTTTTTTTTTAGATTCCACGTATAAATGAGATCATACAGTATTTGTCTTTCTCTGTCTGACTCATTTCACTTAGCATAATGCTCTCAAGGTCCATCCAAGTTGTCCCAAACGGCAGGATTTCCTTCTTTCTCGTGGCTGAATAGTATTCCATTGTGTATATAAGCTGTATCTTCTTTATCTTTTCATTGGCTGACAACTTTAAAATTTTAATAAACTTTTAATTAGAACAGTTTTTTTAAAAATATATTTATCTTTGGCTGCTTTGGGTCTTTGCTGCTGTGTGCGGGCTTTCTCTAGTTGCAGCAAGCTGGGGCTACTCTTTGTGGCAGTGCGCGGGCTTCTCATTGTGGCTGCTCTGGTTGCGGAGCACGGGCTCTAGGCACACAGGCTTCAGTAGCTGTGGAACGTGGGCTTCAGTAGTTGTGGCTCGTGGGCTCCAGAGCACAGGCTCAGTAGTTGTGGCGCACGGGCTTAGTTGCTCCGTGGCATGTGGGATCTTCTCAGACCAGGGCTTGAACCCGTGTCCCCTGCATTGGCAGGCGGATTCTTAACCACGATGCCACCAAGGAAGCCCTAAAGCAGTTCTAAATTTACAGAATTATTGCAAAGAAGTTGCCATATACTCAACACCCAGTTTTCCCTTTTATTAACATCTTATATTACAATGGTACATTTA